TGGATAACTGGGTACGAGACTTTGGTTTACCCAAGTCCATTGTTAGTGATAGGGACGTTCGCTTCACTAGTGAACTGTGGCAAAATACTGCCCAACAGATGGGTACCCGACTCCAAATGACATAAAGAAATCACCCTGATTCCAATGGCCAGATGGAACAGATGAACCGGGTAGTACAACACCTGCTACGACATTACATCAAGCCAAGTCAAGATGACTGGGACGAGAAATTGCCTCTCGTCGTCAGCCTGTACAACAACGATGTGCATAGTACTACTACTTGCATAGTACTACTACTATGACTCCCAACCAACTACATCTTGGTTGGACGCCCAGGTCCGCCTTGGATTTTCTATTACCCGAAACTCGGTCATCTGCAGCGCCTGGCAGCATAGAGTTTGTTGTCAAGTACGGACAGATGCTACAACAGGCTGTAGAACACATTAAGAAAGTTGAAAATGCTATGATAGCATTTCAGAACAAGCACAAACGGCCATCGCAGTTTCAAGTAGGAGAGCGAGTATGGGTCAAGTCATCTGAACTGGGCCAAGAATTGGGAATCTCACGTAAACTAATGCCGCAGTATTTCGGTCCTTGGGAGGTCCTAGACATAGTGGGGGATCAGATAGATGGACCGTCCTATGTCATTCGCATCCCTAACCACCTACTCACAGACCCAATCTTACACGCTTCAAAGCTGCCACCTTTTGCAGAAACTTCGCAGTTTCCCTCCAGACGATCAATGCTGCCCCCAACCATAGATAGCAAAGTTGACATCGATGAAATCGTGGAGCATCGCCTGATGCCAGTGCCCAAACCTCCCTGCAGAGGCTGACCTCCAAAGCCAAGGATGTAGTACCGTGTCAGATTCAGACACCATATTGATCCCAGTGAAGATCAGTGATTTACCAGAGAAGAACTCCAGCAAACAGCTCCCCAAGTGATTGCAGGCTACGAAAGAGCACTCAAGGGAAATTTGCAGATTAAGGAACTTCTCAAGGGACTACCGAGGTAAAGGAGGAGGCAATGCAAAGATGTAGCTCCTCGGCAGGTCTGAGGGGCCCCTTACGCAAGTGTGCCTGCCCTAAGTGAAGGCGGACCTAACAAATCACAAGAGGCCGAATACTGTCAATTTCGTATTTGGGGCCCAGGCAGTTGTGTCGCGGCAGTTGGTTGAGGGAACCCAGAACCCGAGCAGCAAATACTTTCCACGACCTTCTAGGCCTTTTCTGAAATGCAGGCCCTGGGCCACAGTCGGAGCAACATACACAGACAGTTTGGAGGCGTAACTGAACAAGGCCCAGCGGCAGCAGAGGCCCAGCTACCTGGGGCCTACGGAAAGCTTTTGGGCACAGGCCCAGCCCAGCCAGGCCGCAGGCCAGGCCAGATTATTTCCATATAGGAAACAGTTCGCTGCCTGGCAGCTCATTCGGGCACTTGCCAGTTTGCGGCAGCACTGCTGGAGCGGACGCTCATGTGCCGCTGCTAGCGCTGGGGCAAGGTGCTGTGCACGTGCGGTCGTGTGGGAAGAAGGGCGCTCCTCAGGGCAGCGCCATAGCCCAGCTTCCATAGCTGGCTGGGCTTGGATAAACAGCAAGGCGCAGTGGTGGTCTCTGGGTGTACAGAAGGAAGACGAGAGAGAGAGAGAGAGAGAGAGAGAGAGAGAGAGAGAGAGATGAGGATGATGATGTGAGGGCTCATACCTGGTATTGGCGATGGTCAACATTGGGCGACATCTTCCTGTACTTCGGTGGCTGCTGACGTCAACAGTTGCATTGTCAATTCATAGGCAGATAGTAGCTGTGTGGGGAGTAGTCTGGGCATTGAGCGCCAAGTAGGGGGAAGGGCCTGGACTCTGATGTTGGTGATGACGAGAGATCGGTTTCAGTGTTTCGAATCTCCATTGGTGAAACATTGGTGCAATACTGCTTTCTAGACACTGTGAGGCTTTCTGGCTTTCAATGTGATCGTGTTATCTGGATTCTGTCATCTCGCTATTGCTCATTTTCCTTGCACATATCAGATTTAAAAAAAAAACAAGAAAAAAGCAAAAATTCAGGGAATATGGCAGTTTCAGTGAAAAATTCGCCGAAAATGACACCACCTATTAACCACGAGTGGAGGTAACAGAGGAAAGAGGGAGGGAGGGAGGGCTGAGGGGCACGGGCAAAAGGAGAGGAGGAAGGAGGGAGGGAGAAGTGAGGGCCGATGGAAGGAAGGAGGGAGGTAGAAGTGAGAGCGAAGGAAGGAAGAGATGGAAGCGAGGGCCGAGGGAAGGAGGAAAGGGAAGGAGAGGAGAGAAGTGAGGGCCGAGGGAAGAAAGAAGGGAGAAGTGAGGCCCGACAGAGGAGGAATGTCCGAGATAGGAGGGAGAGAGGAGAGAGGGCCAAGGGCCGAGGGAAAAGGAGAGAGGTCAAGGGAGGGAGGTAAGAGAAATGGAGACTCACTCGAGTCCACCATGTCAACGCAGCCGACAATGATGAGCCAACAATGCACAAGCCTCCGGTCACGATGTAGCTTAGCCTTCCAAGTTCCACAAAAGTGGGCAATGCCTCAAGCACACATTGCAGTGAGGCACTCGAAGTTCACATAGCACGCAGGACAATTCATGTTGCACCAAGCTCATGAATCACCAAGCTCACGAAGCATGGAGCAGCAAGCTCACGTAACACCACTGCCCGAAGCACCTAGCACCGAGGAAGACATAGGAGGAGGGGCAGAGGGGGGGGAGGGCAGGGGGAGAGAGAGAGAGAGAGAGAGAGAGAGAGAGAGAGAGAGAGAGAGAGAGAGAGAGAGAGAGAGAGAGAGAGAGAGAGTGAGGGTCGCGTAGGGGGGGCACGTCCGCCGGTGCAGGTAGGTCGCGTAGGGCAGGGACGGCTGGTAGTGCAGGTCAGTCGCGTAGGGTAGTCCGCACAGGGTAGGTTGTGT